GTAGTACTGGTGTCTAATACAGGGATTTCCAGCTTGTACAGAAGGGGGTCTTCAAACTCTCTAAACAAGGGGCCAGTTTACTGTCCTTTAGACTTTAGCGGGGCCAGACTATGGTCAGCGGGAGTAGATAATGCCTCAGACTTTAAAAAATATAATGGTAGTGAGCGCTCTCTATTATAGCAGCTGATACACTCAGGTTACCAAACAAAACCTCAAATATACAGTAAATAATAAAGTGCAGAACTAAGATGAATAAAGGTAAGATCACAATAAAACTTGATATGAATCAGTCTATAAAAGTATAATAAATCCAGAAGTGTGCCAATGTCAATCTCTTCTATATCGGTGCTCCGAAAGAATGATAGGATTGTGCGCTTACCAGAAGCGCATAGATTATGCGCATTAATGTATCCGTCTCAGAAACTAGTGATGTATGTATATGGAACATCCATCTGATAATGGGCAGCTCTGCAGTGAATGGATGATGTCTGCTCCAGAGGTCTCCTTACGGATCGATAGGGTCAGCCACCTGATTACAGGAATTCCCCTTCTCTGGATAATGGTAATCTTCCCAGGTTCTGCAGGCTTAAAGGCTCCGTAAAGAAGCCATAAGAAAAGTGCCCATAGTGTAGTATTGCCAAAAATGTAAATGTATTTAAATCCAGAAAAAATTGACAGATGACCATAAACAAGGTGTGCACTGACCATTAGTTAAGAATGCCGCCGCACCAGCACGTGGCTCCGACGGCGTGACGTCACAGCGTGTTGATTTCCTTAGGCCTTTCATGCAAAGTATGTCTTCAGAGGAAAATCAACACAGCTATGACTAGTGTGCATGCGCACTAGCCGTCCTTCTGCAAAATGGCAGTATCGCATGTGCCGAGCATATATAAATCCAGCTACACTAGTCATAACTGTGTTGATTTTCCTCTGAAGACATGCTTGGCACAAAAGGCATAAGGAAATCAACACTCTGTGACGTCACGCCGTCGGAGCCACGTGCTGGTCCGGCGGCCATCTTAACTAATGGTCAGTGAACCTTGTTTATGGTCATCTGTCAATTTTTTCTGGATTTAAATACATTTACATTTTTGGCAATACTACACTATGGGCAATTTTCTTATGGCTTCTTTACGGAGCCTTTAAGCCTGCAGAACCTGGAAAGATTACCATTTTCCAGAGGAGGGGAATTCCTGTAATCAGGTGGCTGACCCTATCGATCCTTAAGAATGCCTCAGGCTTGGTGGTCAGTGTGAGTAAAAAAAAATTACACAGCACCACTGTGGTTAAGAGGAGGAATAGTGCCCCATCATTGGTGTCAGTGGGAGGAATAGTGCCTCATCATTGGTGTCAGTGGGAGGAATAGTGTCCCATTGTTGATGTCAGTGGGAGGATTAGTGTCTCAACTTTGGTGTCAATGGGAGGAATAGTGCCCCATCATTGGTGTCAGTGATAGGAACAGTGCCCCATCATTGGGGTCAGCGGGAGGAACAGTGCCCCATCGTGGGGGTCAGCGGGAGGAACAGTGCCCCATTGTGGGGGTCAGCGGGAGGAACAGTGCCCCCATCATTGGTGTTAGTGGGAGGAATAGTGCCCCCATTGTTGGTGTCAGTTGGAGTAATAGTGCTTCATCTTTGGTGTCAGTGGGAGGAATAGAGCCCCATCACTGGTGTCAATGGTAGGAATAGTGTCCCATCAATGGTATTCATGGGAGGAATACTGCACCCATCAATGGCATTAGTGGGAGGAATAGTGCCCCCATCATTGGTGTCAGTGGGAGGAATAGTGCCCCATCATTGGTGTCAGTGGGAGGAATAGTGTCCCATCATTGGTGTCAGTGGGAGGAATAGTGTCCCATCATTGGTGTCAGTGGAAGGCATACTGCCCCATCATTGGTGTCAGTGGAAGGCATACTGCCCCATCATTGATGTCAGTGGGAGGAATGGTGCACCATCCTTGGTGTCAGTAGGAGGAATAGTGTCCCATCATCGGTGTCAGTGGGAGGAATAGTGTCCCATCATTGGTGTCAGTGGGAGGAATAGTGTCCCATCATTGGTGTCAGTGGGAGGAATGGTGCACCATCCTTGGTGTCAGTAGGAGGAATAGTGTCCCATCATCGGTGTCAGTGGGAGGAATAGTGTCCCATCCTTGGTGTCAGTGGGAGGAATGGTGCACCATCCTTGGTGTCAGTAGGAGGAATAGTGTCCCATCATCGGTGTCAGTGGGAGGAATAGTGCCTCATCATTGAGGTCAGTGGAAGAAATAATGGCCCCATCATTGGTGTCAGTGGGATTTAGAAATAATACTCTATCATTAGTGTCAGTGGGAAGAATAATAATCCATTTTTGGTGTCAGATGGAAAAATAGTGTCCCAAGGTTTGGAGGCCACTGTTATAGAGGGATGCTACATATATGGTATAGAATATAGTTATATTGCTCCAAGCTTGGACCAATGAAACAATGTAAAAAATATCCATACCTGGAATAGGCAACAATGGGACTGCTGGCAAAGGGGATGCACAGAACGCCCATCATTCCCTGTGACGATAAAACAGGGTCCTGCATAGGGCAGGCATGTAATCGCTCCATGTGAGGCAGGCATGTAATCGCTCCATGTGAGGAAGGCCTTTTCCCTTATTGTTAATGGCACCCCAAGATCTGCAAGACGCACAGTATTGCAAGCATAAAAATGAGTGGCTTCTTTGCTGTGTGTAGGGCAGCCCATAAAAATGAATGCACTGCTGCATTCTCTAGAAGATTCGAGACAGGAGAGCCCTTAGCTCTAACAAGAATTCTACTAGCCATCTCCAGGACTGTTGGCTTGGGAGTGTAGCCTTGTCTGTGACAACTCTGGGGGGGGGGGGGGGGGGGGGAACCATGATGCACAATCTGTATGCGTAATTTCCCCAAAAAAACATCAAGAGCAAGGGCAAGACCCAGGCCAGGTCACTCATGCGCAAAATGTTTAAAAAACATGAAAGTTAGGAATAGCCGCTCGATTTATCTGCAAGCGCCTTGTTTTACCATTAGAGTTCTTTATCTCTTTTACTTTGTGTTGTCAGAAAAATACATCTGTAATTTTTTTTTTCTTTTGTTATTTTTTACAGTTGAATCTGTTCAGTAACTTCTCCCCAACCTTCCTCCTCCTTCTGCGGAGAAACAATGTCAGGATTGTGGTTGAACTGGAAAATATGCCACCAATCACCGCACCCATACCCATTCCTGCCTCTGGGCTCACTAACATTGTGTATGGCTTAAGGCACCTGTGCTATTTCTGTCCTCAGAAATCCGTCTCTGTCACTCTTAAAATACACATAGGAACAGTTATATCAGCAATATGTGGATTTAAACCATTCAGATTAAACACACGTGTCCCTTCATTCTCTAGACCTATTGTATACAGTATATACTGTATTCATAGAGTAATTCTGACAGTCAAAGTAAATAGAATGCTAATACCCCGATTATCATTAGCATGCACTGAATAAACAGCATCTCAGATAATATATGAGATGTTCTCATAGAGGGCAAAGATATTACCTTCATCCTCCAAGAAAGAGATAAATCAATCTCCTCTATTTCTACCGGCAGGAGGAGGACAGACTCATAGCTCCCTTCTGTCTGTATCACCCTGCAGGAGGAGGACAGACTCATATCTCCCTTCTGTCTGTATCACCCTGCAGGAGGAGGACAGACTCATATCTCCCTTCTGTCACCCTGCAGGAGGAGGACAGACTCATATCTCCCTTCTGTCACCCTGCAGGAGGAGGACAGACTCATAGCTCCCTTCTGTCTGTAACGCCCTGCAGGAGGAGGACAGACCCATAGCTCCCTTCTTTCTGTATCACCCTGCAGGAGGAGGACAGACTCATATCTCCCTTCTGTCACCCTGCAGGAGAAGGACAGACTCATAGCTCCCTTCTGTCTGTAACGCCCTGCAGGAGGAGGACAGACTCATAGTTCCCTTCTGTCTGTATCACCATGCAGGAGGAGGACAGGCTCATATCTCCCTTCTGTCACCCTGCAGGAGGAGGACAGACTCATAGCTCCCTTCTGTATCACCCTGCAGGAGGAGGACAGGCTCATATCTCCCTTCTGTCACCCTGCAGGAGGAGGACAGACTCAGTTCCCTTCTGTCTGTATCACCCTGCAGGAGGACAGACTCATAGCTCCCTTCTGTCCATGTCACCCTGCAGGAGGACAGACTCATAGCTCCCTTCTTTATGCATCACCCTGCATGAGGAAAATAGACTCAAAACTTCCTTCTGTCCATGTCACCCTGCAGGAGGAGGACAGACTCATAGCTCCCTTCTGTCTTTATCACCCTGCAGGAGGAGGACAGGCACATAGCTCCCTTCTGTGTCACCCTGCAGGAGGAGTGACAGACTCAGAAGGAGGAAAGACTCATAGCTCCCTTCTGTCCGTGGCACCCTGCAAGAGGAGGACAGACTCATAGCTCCCTTCTGTCTGCATCACCCTGAAGGAGGAGGACAGACTCATAGCTCCCTTCTGTCCATGTCACCCTGCAGGAGGACAGACTCATAGCTCCCTTCTTTCTGTATCACCCTGCAGGAGGAGGACAGACTCATAGCTCCCTTCTGTCTGTATCATCCTGCAGGAGGACAGACTCATAGCTCCCTTCTGTCTGTATCATCCTGCAGGAGGAGGACAGACTCATAACTCCCTTCTGTCCATGTCACCCTGCAGGAGGACAGACTCATAGCTCCCTTCTTTCTGTATCACCCTGCAGGAGGAGGACAGATTCATAACTCCCTTCTGTCTGTATCATCCTGCAGGAGGAGGACAGACTCATAGCTCCCTTCTTTCTGTATCACCCTGCAGAAGGAGGACAGACTCATAGCCCCCTTCATTTTCTATCACAATGCAGGAGGACAGATTCATAGCTCCCTTCTGTCTGGGTCACCCTTCAAAGGAAACAACTTTTTGGTTTCTACTTCCTTCTCAAACAGCATAAAGGCTCATCTCACCCCTAAACTTACCTTAAAGGATCCCATAAAAAACGAAAGAAGATTTTGTTTTGCTGCTGTAACTTTTGCTGCCTTTCTCTTCTTCCTCAAGGTCTTCGGTGACGGTAGGCTCCATCCACTGCTAGACTTGTTCTTTTCCCCCAGAGGCTCTGCCCTGCCTCCCGTGTCTAAATGAGATTCACTCCGTGTCCTCCACATGGATCCGGGCACCCCCAGAGTTCTTCCATCCGCCCCTTCCTCTTCATCACTATCACAAACCAAGTTACCGGCACTAAAGGAACGTTCCACCCGCACTTCCGGGACGGGTAAAGCGGGACCTTTTTGGGAGGATGAGTCAGGGATGTCAGCAGGAGGGGGTCTTCGGATTGCTACACGTTTCCAATGTTGAGGGTTATCAGGTGAAAGGCAGGTGTCACTGCCAGATTTGCGAAGCGGGTTAAACACATGGAGCATCTGTGGAGTAAGAAGAGATTATTAAAATTCTTTTGCAGTCATGAAACACTGCATGTAAAAAAATGTTCCTTGAAGTTCTCTGATGTCCAAAGAGAAAGTGTAGTCACCACTGTTTAAAAAAGATGAATGACAGGGGTAGGACTAGACATCAGGAGGAGGCTTAATCTCAACATGGTAGATGTTAAGGATCCATGTACTATCTGGGCCAAGGTACCTGCATTTCAGCACTGTTGGTACCTTAGTCCAGCCTTTCTTCAACAAGGGTTGCGTGGAACCCAAGGGTTCCTTCAAAGGTTGTTAAGAATTCCTTGAACAATATACAATTTCTGCCTCTCAGATAAGTGACCACTGCATCACTGATCTTTTTTGCTTTCAGTAGGAGGGGGATTCTTTCCAATGACCACACATGTAAGGAGAATTCTTCCCATTGATCATCATATGAACGTATTGTAACCTCCAGCTGCCTGATATGTTCTCTTTGTGAGCTACTATCCAATGGACACAGTTACACTATAAAGTTATAAACTCTGTGTCTATGGCATAGTAGCTCACAAAGAGAACATATCAGGCAGTTGGAGGTTACAATGAACCTAGCGTAGCCTTAAAAGTGTTCTAAGACAGCTTTATCAAACATTTTAACATGGAGGAACCCTTGAATTGACTTTCCAATCACAGGGAATCCCTGCTAATAATGGCTATACAGTATATACGGCTTATGGTGCCTTAGCATGATGGTCAATGGGAAGAATCCCCCTCTTACAGACAGCTAAAAAGATCAGTGATGTCAGTGGTCACTTATCTGAGAGGCAAAAATTGTACATTGCTACAGAATTTCCTAACAACTTCTGAAGGAAACCTTGGGTTCCATGCAACTCTGGTTGAAGAAAGGCTGGTCTAAGGTATCAATAGTACTGAAATGCCAGTACCAAGGTTCAGGGTGTACATGATCCTTAACGTCCTCTATGCTGCGATTAAGCCCCCTCATGGTGTCTAGTCCTACCCCTGGCCTTCATCTTGTACAGTGCATTCAGAAAGTATTTAGACCCTCTTCACATTTTTCAATTTTATGTTGCAGCCTGATACTGCAGTTGTTTAAATTCATTTTTTTTCTCATTAATCTAAACTCAGTACCCCATAATGACAAAGTGAAAACAGAATTTTAGAAATGTCTGTTATTAAAAATAAACAAATTAAATATCACATTGAACAAAGCAATCAGAACATTTGCAACAACACTTGAAATTTTAGCTCAGATGCCTTCCATTGCTCTTGATCATTGCTGGGATGTTTCTACACCTTGAATGGAGTCCACCTGTGGTAAATTAAATTGATTGGACATGATTTGGAAAGGCACACATGTCTCTATAAAAGGCCTCACAGCTCACAATGCATACTGTAACAGAACAAAAGCCATGAGGTCAAAAGGAACTGTTTGGCACAACCAGGACTCTCCCTAAAGCTGGCCACCTGGCCAAATGGAGCAATCAGGGATTAAGGGCCTTAGTAAGAGAGTTCACCAAGAACCCGATGGTCACCCTGACTGAGCTCCAGAGATCCTTTGTGGAGATGGGACAAAGTTCCAGAAGGACAACCATCACTGCAGCCCTCCACCGATCTGGGATTTATGGCAGATAGGCTAGACGGAAAAGCCTCTCCTCAGTGCAAAACACATAAAAGCCCGCTTGAAGTTTGCAAGAAACAGACATTAGAGAAGAGAAAGCCTCATCGAGGATTTTCCAAAAAAGGATCGAGTACAGTAGCTGATGTACAAAGTCAATCCACAGTAGCCTGATGACTTGCATATAGAAGAGCAACGGGAAGGAAACAACCAAAGGCTAAAAGTTCATGAACCCAAATAATTCAAGAAAAAGGGAACATATAGTATCCATTCAGTGTAATTCCTAAAAGGAGGACACAAACCAAGTAGGTTGGTAGATGTAGTCAGTAGGTATGTCACGGAGGTCTCAGCAAAGGTCTTGGATAGTAGACATCAGCTGGTATGGATCATATATGAAAAAGACGGTTCCCTTGGAAAAAATAAAATTGGAAAATGCTACTTTGAGGCAGAGTCCATAGACACTTAACACCTTCAGGAAGACGATGCACCAAATGTGAAATAAATGTTCGTTCTCATGAGGCTAAGTAGGAGGAAGGGAAAGAAAATAGAGAAGAAAAGGAAGGGCCAAAGAAGTTGAGGGAAAAGCGAGAGAAAGGAGGGAAGGTGGGACATTTCTTTTAACTTCACAGCCGGGTCACTTAACATCTGAAGTCTCAAGAGTCGTACACCTCAGGGTGCTCAGGCTCACATCAGCACTCAGGGACAATATGAATGAGGAGCGCCCAAGGTTCATCCCCTGGAACAAATATTCTATCTGCATGATGGACTGACACCAGGCTCACTCTGAGTGGTCATTCAAGTCCTTCCCCAGGAGCCCAGTCCCTTATAATTTCAGAGCCTTGACAAGCAGTTAATGCTCTGAAATATGAAAACTTGGATGAAAGACAGAGGTTTAGTACCAGAAGGGATGGAGCTTAATCTTGACTTGAGGAAAAGTCAAGGCTTGGGTACAGCCTAAAATTCAGATGGCTCCACAGAGAAGTACTGTTGTAAACCTGGCCACGCGCACCCAGCACGCGTTGGTGTCCAACTGAAAGGTCCCAACAATAACCTAACACATTGTGTATGATATACAATTTCTGTTCTTTTGCAAAAAAATACAATCTTTTCCCCCTATTTTTCTTCCATAATATTATTTCAGTGTTGCTGATCTCTTTCATGCTCTCTCAGTCATTTCCTATCTACTATGTATTTGCTACAGGGTTGGCTGCACATCATTGCTCTTGACCAGCCGTCTGACAACAGAGGACCATTCCATCACAATATGTATCACCATGGCTGCTTGTGGTGACCACCAGGGGTGGGGGGGGTGACAACTGTAGAGCACAACTAGCAGACGCTGTCATCCCATAACAGGAAGTGCCCGAAAAAAGACCTTAGAATCATCAAGTATTCTTTCAATTAAAAACTTCAGATTTCAAATTATTAAAAGCTTTTGGAAATTCATTAACATGGTAGAGCGTGATATTTTAGTGCTTGGGTTTACATCTACTTTCAAGTTAACCACACATGTGAATATACAAGCTCTTTTAGATCTACCAACAAGTATGTAGTTTAACCCCTTGACACCGATGTCACACAAATATGCGGCCTCACAGAACTGGGCTTTTTTCTGTGGGGCCGCATATTTCCATACCTGTCTTTGTGCTGGGAGCGCGCCGCACAGCGCACTCCCAACACAAAGACTAAGATGTCACTGAGAGCCCTGGGTCCGGTTCTAACGATTGGGATCTGGGTCTCCTGATTTTGGGTTCACGTGATCGCTGTGATAGCCTCTGACTGGCTATCACAGTGATCAGTCTGTTTTTTTTTTCTCTCTGAATGAAGGAGAGAGATACATTGTATCTCTCTCTCTCTCCTTGCAGAGAGCGAAAAAAACTGTTTGTAAGGAAAAAAAAAAAAAAGCACGCCGCACGTACTGGAAAACGCAACCGTACTGGGAACCGAGGTTCCCGTGTGGGCTGCGTTTTCGGACGAAATGCAGGGACTTCTTCCCTGCATGTCATGGGGCACGAAAGTCCATTCAAATGAATGGGTTCTCGTGTCCATGCAAAACGCGGCCGGCACGGCCGCATATATGTGAACCGGGACTAACCTCTTCACGCCAAATATGCAGCCTCTCGGCAGCTGGGCCTTGATGCTGAGCGGCCGCATATTTGTGTACTATTTGTAAACAAACGTGCTGAAAGTGCGCGCCCAGCACGTGTCAGTGTCCAACGGAAAGGTCCCAATCTCTCCTTGCGATTGGGACCTTTCTGATCATATAACTGCAGTGACAGCCAATCACGGCGGACACATGACCCTAAATCTCACCCCACCTCCCGGCGTCAGAAACCCCTTTAAGGGCCGGGAGGCGCTGGCGTGAAGGGGTTAATACAGGAGAGAAAGGTTTCACAATGGATTACTGCACAGCTCTGGAAGAGGGCAGCACAGTGGCTAAATGGTTAGCACTTCTGCCTGGCAGTACTAGGGTCGTTGGTTCAAATCCCAACCACGGCACCACCTGCCTGGAGTTTGCATGTTCTCTCTGTGCCTGCGTGGGTTTCCTCCGGGTACTCCGGTTTTCCTCCCAAACTCAAAAGACATTCTGGTAGGTTAATTGGCTCCTGTCTAAATTGGCCCTAGTATGTGTATGTATGAATCTGAGTTAGGGACCTTAGATTGTACGCCCTTGAGGGTTAAGTACTGATATGAATGTACAATAAACATATGTAAAGCCCAATGTAAATTGAAGGAGCTATATAAGTACCTGTCATAAATAAAATACACAAAGCACACCAAGCCGCAGATAACAATAGGCATGTGTCTTGTATTTCGATAATATTTGCTTATACTGGAATTCAGCTTTAATGAGCAAATTGGTATCCTCCCATGTACATATATGATTACCAATTATACCATGTTTTTTTAACCCTTTAGGCTGGAAGGCGAGCTCCTAATCATGCGGTCACAGTAATTGGCTGTCACATCACTCCCATGATCCTGAGACCGTCCTACCAGCTCCAGATAACAAACAGTGACCAGGACCTACATGTGGCAGCATGGTGTTAAAGCCCACTGCATGGGTGCCTTAGTACACCGCACACAACAGTCTGTTTACTGTCAGCTAATCACATTATCTAGGAAAATTTGATATCACCTGTTATGAAATGGTCCCGTCAGATGTGTCAACATTCGAGTGTTTGTACACGTGCGCAGCAATGACAACACAAGAGATGCCAAACAAAGCACAGGGCGTGGAGACAGAGGGATACAGGACAGGTGAAACTGACAGGTGTGTGCGGGAAATATACAGAAGGAGGGTATACAAGGCACCTGTGTGAATATGGGAGGCTGATGACAGCAATACAAAAAGAGAAGGAAATGTTTCTTTGCATGTAAG